TTCTAATGTTCTTGATATTTAAATTTTTTTTAGAAAATAATAAACACTAAGCACATGTTTGAAACATTGGCATTTAAAATTATTTTACAGCATTAAGATTGATCTACTCCAGATTTACTTTATGATATATGATGTGTATTATTTTATGATGTATATGTTACCGGCAAAGTATGAAATCCGGCATTGTATAGAATGACTAGACATTATATAGAATGCCTAAAATTATGCTTAAAATTACCGTCAAAATGTTATTCAATAATGACAAATTCAAAACGTCATCCGATTTGATATTAATTTATTCATGGATATAATTACATTCATTCGTAATTTTAATAATTACTGATGATCAATTACATTTATTTGATATTTTAATACTTATACTGACGATAGATTAGAAGAAACATCAGTGTTTGGAGTATCGATCAAATATATACCGGGCAGTGACACTTGACCTTAAAAAAACATCAGTGTAGGGTATACCGGGCAATGTCACTTAACTAGACCTAGTATATATTTCGGACATTTACCAAAGGCCTAGTTATACTAGGTCTAGTTAAGTGCCATTGCCTGGTATAAATTTGCCCGGTATATCCTACACTGATGTTTTTTTAAGGTTCAGTGCCATTGCCCGGTATACCACTGCCCGGTATACCCTACACTGATGTTTTTTTAAGATCAAGTGCCATTGCCCGTTTATATTTGCCTGATACTCCAAAAACTGATGTTTCTTCTAATTTATCGTCAGTAAGTATTAAAATATCGAATAATTTATTGAGAGATTATTTCTTATTCTTATGTTTACAGAGATATTTATCTCTTTATTGATTTCTAAAATGCTATGTTTTCAATTTATGTGTTGCGTTGTAGCTACAACATAATTTATTGTTATATACAAATACTGAAAGAAATAAAGCTGCATGAGTTTGCATTTGTTTATAATATGGAAGAAAGCTAGTTTGAAAGACAAGGTCTTTTCCGGTAAAAGTAGATATTACCAATCTTAGCTGGTTAAAACCTAAACAATCTCAAAAACTTTGACCTCTAATTGACTAAAATTATGTTAAAATAATAATAATTGATTAGAGCCTGAAGTTGTGTTATATGCTGATAAAATAATATGTTATTAAGTAATGCATAAACAGCCCCTGTCCTGTATAGTACCCATGAGTCTTGTTAAAATTTTGGATTCTCTACATGGCTTTATTTCATCATTTTTTTTCAAGGTTAAGAACTATGGCTCAGTCAATTATGTGTATTGTAGATATTTGCTTTGGGCTTTAATCAACAAGGATGGTTTGACCCACTTTTAGCTGGTTAAATGTGGAAGCTTTTGTGATTTTGTGGCTTTATGATACTAGGAGGATCTGTAATCCCAAACTTTAACTGGAAACCTAAGTTAGTCTTCCATTCTTACTTTATCCACTTATTATGAATCCTTAGTTTATGTTAAGGAACTTTTAAATAGTCAAGTTATAAAATATAGCAAAGCGAATTTGCAATGATTGTCTATGAAAAAGGGATGAGTAATAATTATTATTTTTGTCTCTTTTTATAAATGTTTCTTAATGAATTAGTTTTTACTGTTTTAATAGCTATATATATTTTTGATTACGTTAAAAGACTATTTTTTGTTTCAGATAATCAAAGTTTAGGTATGGCCAACAGTTTTACAGATTACCAACAACTACCTGGTTTTATGTATGCTTGCTCCTATTGCGCTTACAAAACAAGATATAAGGGCAACTTTAAAAACCACTTAAATATCCATTTAAATGAGAGTCCTTTTCAATGTTCTATATGTGGCAAGCGATGCAATTTTAAACACAATTTGAAAAAACATATGCTTACTCATCAAAAATAGATTTATTTTACTTAATTTCCAGCATACAAGTAAACAAGATATCAGTTGCTATATGATTACAATGATTGTTACGCGTAAATTATAACATTCAGGCTCTCTTGAATCAGAAAAGTAATTATACTTCCTTTGTGTTAACCTATGAAAAATACACGAACATAACTATTATTATTTACTAAGTAACAAATTAATATATTTGGATAATATTTTTTTCTATTGAGCCTAATTATGAAATTTTAAGTTTTCAGATTGTAATTTTTTTAAAAAACTTTTTCAATAATTTTTCTACATTCAAGTTTTAAAAGTAACTATGTAAAATAAACTCAGTGGCGCAACAGCCCATAGAAGGCCTAGGCCTACTGTGCTCATCTCAGTTTTCTTGACCTTTGGACTCTGAGGTGCAAGAGCAGATGTTCCGGTTGAATGATCAGCCCAACGCAGTACCCCCAGTGTTTAGCTCCCAAGCATGCTTGGTACTCATTTTATTGACCCACTGAAGGGATGTAAGGCTGAGTCAACTTTGCCTGGCTCAAGGATCGAACCAGGGACCTGTGGCACGGCAGCGCAAAGCGCTACCTCTCAGTCACCAAGCGTTAAATAGTAATAATAATAATTATGTAGAATACTAAAATTTAAATTTGGTAACTAAGTTCAGTTGAACAATAAATATTCGAAAATGTTTATTGTTACTTGTAAATAAACAAATGTAAAATGTCAATCATAATATTGATTGTTAGAGGTAAGAACAGCATTAAAGTAACAACAGAATTATTTCCTTTATGTTAACTACTTTGTGTTAACTTTATTTTTAATTTTTTTCCAAGTTTAAAAACAAATTTATAATCTTTATGTAATTTTCCCTAGCTTAACATGGAGAAAGTAGAATCTCTTTTCTTTTTGTAAAGATCCTTTAAAATAGTTTACTTTTTTCTCTGTGTATGAGAACACATTTGACACAAATTTAAATGGAAAATTTGTATCATTTGTGTTAAAGGTATTTCCTAGAAGCATTGAAATGTGTCTACTGCTTATATAATAACAAATTTTAGAGTTTATATACACTGTATTTTATTTTTTGAAATACTTTTCTTTTTGATCAATCTTGAAACATAAGTTATACAATGTAAAAGCAGTCTATTTATTTCATTTTGTGTGTCATTTTCTGATTGTGTAATTTGTGTGTTAGGTTTTTTAATAAAGAAATAAATTAGCCATATTTTTATGCATTATTTTACTAATCAACTTAATATTTATCCTTATCATTTGTTTTATTTATTCTATTCCTTCTTTAACCTACAATATCAAATATATTTTACTGACTTAACCCTGTAATTGATATCATTAATTACTGCACTCTTACGCAATTTTATTATATTATTATTATTTATTAACTAATTTTATTTATTAATTTTGGTTTCTTTTCCATCTAGTGTCAAATATATATTTGATTGACTTCTTTAAATGATACCTTTATCTATCACTGATTATTTGTTGCATTTCTTAATTTTATTTGTTAACTTCAATTCACTCTCAAATTCAATTCAAAGATTATACTTTACTAATTTGCTGCTCCATAATGATGCAATTATCAATGAACAAATACAGCATTTTTAATTGTTATATTATTATTAGTCATATACTAAAATTATTCCTTAATTGGGATTTACTTTTTCTTCTGCCAAAATTTCACTCATATCAATATCAGTGTTCTATTAATACACTTTCACTAAATTGTACTATCATTGCAATCACTGAGAAGACTCCAAGGTTTCCATTATGTACCAAATTTTATTTTTCATAGTACTATTTTTTCTCTTATTTAAATGAACTTCGTCTTAATTTTGTTTCATTTTTAATTTTATTTTAACCAAATTATGATAATACTTCACTTTTATACGCCATTTTAACATTTAATTTTGTTTAATTTCTATTTTCTCAGTATTGTTGTATCAGGCTTAGTTTAATACATTTTTTAATTTCTTTACCTTGAGCTGAGTTAGGTATAGCATATTGGCTTTGTACCATTAAATTATACATTCCATCTGTATACCACTTTCTTACAAGTAAAATAAATTAAACTTTTTTTTTGTTGGGAAGATAGACAAAGGTAAAAGACAAAATTCTATGTGAAGGCCACCAGGGAGTTAAATTAATGTAAGTTGTTTTTTTAAACTACAAATGCATTTAAAACCTTTTAATGTTTATGTTTCTTTGTAGTATCTTCAATAGGATTTGTATGTGTTTTGTATTAAAATAATTTGTTAAATAATTTAAATCTGAAAATGGTATTTAAAATTTAAAAATCATTTTTATTATTTAAAAATGGGAAATTTAATCTGACCTGAGGAAATTTTAGGTCTGATTAAATATAAAAAAAATTTTACAAAATGTTTTATTACACAAATTATTTTGTATGTCAATTTATTTAATAGTCTGAAATCTGTAAGTTAATAAGTGGGAACTTAGTTTAATAAATTATTACTGTTTCAATATATTTTGATTTCTTTTATTTTTAGCGCATTTGCTAGCTTATTGAAGAATTGTGTGTAAAATCAAGTGATTTTTTCAGTTCATGAGAAAATTATCAAAAGCTTTTTTTCTATTAACAAACTTTACTTTGTAAAAATGTTTTAGATAAATTTATTGTAACTAACGAAGAAAAGCAATCTGGGGGGAATTTCAAACCAAAAGACTGTGTTCTGGGGATATTTTAAGTTCTGAGATTTTTCTGCACCCCTGAAAAGCTGTACTGTTAAATTTTTAAACTGAGACTTTAGTTTAATTTGCTTATTTTTACTAGTTTTATTTAATTTTCCCCATGCAGTGAAAATTAATGAATTTTTATTATTAATCTTTTAAACGTTAGTCCTGGCTTTTTCTGAACTTTTAAATGCAGGCTTTTCTGCATCAAAAAACCGGTATTCCCCATGTTTTTTAATGGGAGAGAGTAGTGCGTAGGAGGGAAGTTTCTGTGCAATTTTACCAATGGACTCAACGCTTGCAGGGTTACAAAGTATTTTTAACAACTCATTAATCAATATTCCAGACATGGGGTTTAGAAATTATTAGTGTTATTTTTTCATGCATTTTAAATGCTGTTTATTGGTTTTTCTTATACTGAATATACTATTCTTTATTTCAGATAATCAAAATGTGATTATGTCAAGTGGTTTTTCAGAGATGAAGCAGCAATTAGATTCTATTTATTCTTGTCCCCATTGTTCTTACATAACCAAATATAAACACAACTACAAAAACCATTTAAATATCCATGCAAACCAAAAACCTTTCCAATGTTCTGTATGTGGCAAACGATGTAACTTTAAACACAATTTGAAAAAACATATGCGGATTCATCTGAAATTCAATCAATTCTAACTGACTCTTTGCTGATTTTTCAGTATTCTTTTTTTTGTCAAACAGTGAAGTACAAGCTCAGCATACAAATGTGTTTTCATTTTGTGTGCATTTAACCTCTTGATGTATTTATTTTATGTGAAATAGTTTGATTAAATAATTAAGCAGCTATATTTGATGGCAATATTTCTTTGTAAACAATAATAAATATTGTAAAATTATGGTTGTTTATAGAAAATTGAAGTAAGAAAATTCATCTCCATTTCTACACTAAGAGAAGCATTTATTTATAAAATAGTAAAAAATGGTTATCTGGTAATGCTTGAATAAACCATGAGTCATTTTATTTAATTTCAGCCATTTTATGTATTAAATTAGTTTGCATCTTCTATATTTTCTAATGTTAACTACTCTGTGTAATCCCACTTTCCACCATGTTAGCTATTTTTTGTTAAATTTAAGTTTTCTTCTCTTTTTCATTAGAAACATTTCTCGAATTTATAAATGACATCCATCAATATAAGATTCCCCATTATTATTTTATTTAACGAATTCTATGTTTTAAAATATCTTGCATCCTTTAGGCTTTCTAATGATAGTCTATCTAAGCCTACTTTTTCTCATGCTTATTACATTTTTATTAATTTTGTTTTTTCGCATACTATTGGAAAAATCTTTTACCTATATAAATGACATTCCAAAGAAAGATTTTCTATTTTTATTCAATATCACGAATTCTGTGTTCTATAGTAGCTTATTTATTTTAGGTCTTCTATAGTAGCTTATTTATTTTAGGTCTTTTAATATTAGCTACCCTGTTTGAATCCACTTTTCCTTATACTAATTACATTTTTGTTAAATTTAGTTTTTCTTCCCTATACCATTATTAACAAGTTTCATGTAAGTAAATCCTATTCAACACTGTAAGATTTCTCATCTCCTTTCCTATTTCTATTAAATTTGGAAACATCTTTTGCATATATAAATGACATTCCACAAAGTAAGATTTCCCACTTCTATTCAATTTCACGAATTCTGTGTTCTATAGTAGTTTGTGTCTTTTCGGTCTTCTAATTGCCTAACCCAACTTACCTGTGTGCGTATTACATTTTTGTTAATTTTACGTTTTCTTCACTATACCATTATAAAAAAATTTCATACAATTAAATGATATTTTACACCACATGATTTCCAATCTCATTTCCCATTTTTATTCAATTTAATGAATTCTATGTTATATTAAAACAGCTTGCATCCTTTTGGCCTTATTATAAGAGCTATCCTATTTTACTTAAATTTCTCCTATGCTTATTACATTTTCGTTACTATTAGGTTTTCTTTCCCATATGATTAGCTACATTATATTAGTGATATTCTATGAAGTGAGATTTCCCAACTTGTACAGATTTAATCATAAGCAAAATCCCTTTTGAACAAAATTTTGAGAATGTTTTCTTCTTATGAGTCATTTTCTTGTAAATTAAAAATTGAGTGTTAGGATTAGTTAAAAGCAGAATATTGTTTGCCGAATTATCAGCATTTCAAATGATTGATAGCACTAAATTAAAAAAATTAGAATATGTTTTACCATTTAATTATTTATATATAAGGTGTTTTAAGATATAATTATTTATATATAAGGTGTTTTAAGATTTAATTATTTATATATGATGTTTAAATAATTTTTTCTTCTTCCAGCAACTCAATATTTTAAAACATTTCAAAGTAAGTGCGTAAGGTAACGGTAAATGGAAAACCTGTTTCCTCTCTGTAGCATTTCCTAAACTTCAAAGTAAATGCGTAAGGTAGCGGTAAATGAAAAACTTTTTCCTCACTGTAGCATTTCCTAAATTTCCTTGAAAATAATGATACAAAAAAGTATTACCCTCTACCCTATTAAAATATCTACCTCCCAGAGTTATTAAGATGCCTGCTATTTGTTTCAATATGTGTATCACAATTTTTATAATCAATTAACAATTTATGTAAGCAATGTCATATTGATTAAACTGGATATTAAATTTCTTTCTTTGTGCGTTCATAGTTAAAATATATTTCATCTATATATCTTATATCACTGTGAAGTGTTAACAAATAAACATTTGCAGGCATATCAACTTATTCTGTGATGTTGGTAAATTTTTTTAGTTGTAGCTAAATTTGTACTTTTTTTGTATGATTTGCAGTTTAATAAATCTAATTGACAGTTACTTTGCCTCTATTACATATACAGCGAATAAATTATTCAAACATGCGTATAAAATGCCTCTATGTTCCTGTTATTCTGTTGTGAGGCTTTAGTCTCCAATTCTTTAAAAAATATTTTGCAGAAAACAGAATATCTGGCATGCCTGCATTTGTTCAAAACATTTACAAAAGTTTGTGCTCAAATATTAAAATTTTTTTCATCGTGTCCTGTTTCATACAGAAATTTTTAATTTTATTTTAGGTTTTCAAACTTTGACTGCCAGATATCCAACTCTTCGACCACCGCCTTTACAAGTTTGCCAGTTTTGTTCTTATTCCACGCCTGATAGAAGTAATTTTAGGAGACACTTGGTGATACACACTCATGATCGTCCATTTGAGTGTCCTGTCTGTGGCAAACGCTGTAATTTCAAACAGAATTTAAAAAAACACATGATTGTGCATATGAAATAACCTTATTGATACAGGATCATTCCTTGTCAGTTTAATCAAACTTGCTTTTTAATGAAACTCATTTAGTTAATGTTAAAATTTCTTGAGTTGTTTTATAATGTCTTGCATCCTTAAGGCTTTATGCTTAGAATTATTGATGTTTTTGTTTCAATATAGTAAGTTTCTGTTTTTCCAATTATATCATATTTTGTCATCAATCTGTCTTGACTTTAGTGTAAGTATGTATAATTCATCCTATGCAATAATTTTTTGGTATAGTCTTGCGTCTTGATTGTTTTTAGACTTCTCATAAGTTTAAAAATTTATCTTCATATTTTTTAAAAAAAAAACTTTGTGCTTTTGTTTCTTTTATTGGTAAGATTTCTTCTCTTAACTTTTTATTTGTTGTGGTAAAAAAAATGTTTTTCCTTTTCTGTGTAATTATATTAATGCTCAATTTGTTTGATTTTTTAATAATTACTAGCAAGAATAAAATGTAAGTTTGGTTTAACTGGTTAAAGTTGAGTAATTCTGATTGTAGTTGGTTAAAGCCTGAAGAATTCCCAATTTTCCACTTTTTTAACTAACTAAATCTGGGCTCAACTGGTTCTGTCAGTTTAAGTTGGAAACCAACATTTACAATACACATTATGTATATGGGTAATGGATCTTAACTTTAAAAAAGATCAGTTCAGGGAATATTTAACAAGTGCCTGGCAAAAAGGCTTTTAACCTTAAAAAACATCAGTGGAATTTCAATGTGCAAAGCTCTTGAGCAGTATTCCGTTTAAAAGGTTGCTTTTGTGTAACCTAATAATATATTGCTTCATCAATATTTGTAATGTAACTTCACACTTAAAGAAACTAATATTGGTTAGATGCAGATTTAGCTAGTTCATGGTGTGAAGCGTTTAGATTTCCGTGAGCTGAAGTTATTGTGCCTGGTTACACTAAGGTTTATCTTCCATTTTGTTTTCTGTATTTTTGTTTGCAACATATACTCATAATATATGACGCAATTTATTTTACAAATTTATTTAAATTATGTAATTTAATTACGAATTATTTAAAATGCATAGTAAAAAAATAAAAATAAAAAATATATGCAGTTATTTAAAGTATTCATTTGCTCTTTTAAATTTGAAAATAATAAGAGTTTTATTTATTTTATGAGTCATTATTTATGAATTCTTAAAACCTTTTAAGGTATGTTGGTTTGTCATATATTTGTACCAAGTTTCTTTATTATAGGTTTTCAAAGTACCATCACAAGAAGTTCATCTAAGTCCTCACTTCTGCGTACACCTTTACAAATTTGCCCATATTGTTCATATTCCACGACTGATCGAAGTAATTTTAAGAGACATTTAGTGACACATACTGACGAGCGCCCATTTCAGTGTCCTTTGTGTGACAAACGATGCAAATTAAAACAAAATTTAAAAAAACATATGCAAGTACATATGAAATTTATTTAAAAATCTGCTTAAAATAACACTTGTAACTTATTTTCTTTTTCAATGCTACTTTATGTTATGTATGAAAAACTTAGTGAAGCAACATGTTAAATGATTTTTTCAAAACAGCTTAATTCCCAGGCGGCCCTTGCGTATTTTTGTGAAGGATAAATTTTTTTAAAGTATTCTTGATCTGTGCAATGATTTTCTTTGTAAAAATGTGGAAAAAAATAGTTTCATAGATTTTCAAGCAAATTCATCGAAATGTGAATGTGTTTGACTGCTTGCAGGTTTATCAAATGATTAAATTTCACTCCTTTTATATATATATATATTAAAGGAGTGAAACTGAAATCTAATGAGCGAAATGCATGTCTAGCTGCGTATTAATGAACTTTGATCCCTAAGTATGTTTTGAAAAAATGTTAGCATGTCTTTTCTCTAAACTTTTCATCTATGCTAATAATTAAAACTTTTTATTTTGTGGAGTGTTATAGACTATTATCATGTTTTTAGGTATTTTTTTTCTCTGTGATAACATTGTTTATCGGATTTTTATGTTCTTGCCTAATTTTTTATTATCTTAAAGTTGTTTTTCCAGGGTATTAATTTTTTAATCTAACTTGTGTGAAATATGACAAATTATTATTTTGAAACAACTATTATATCACAATGTAATGTTGTACTTAGTAAGAAATTTAAGTCTGTTGTAAATTTATCATGCTTTCAATCATACAAGTATCTTAATTTTTTTTTGTTATGATAATTGTGACTGAAGTAATGTACATAAGAGAAATTAATTATTCAATTTAAAATCTCATGAAACTGTGTTAGTATGCCAAAAATGGTGATTAACTCAAGTTCAATATTGATCAATTATTGCTTTTGCCATCTAAGCTTAATGCTTGATCAGTAAGATTTCAGTAAGTCTTCCATTGGAGTGTTTTTTTTTAAATCTATATTTTATAAGAAATAAAATATTTAAAGTTACCATTTTCTAAAAGGACTATATTTTAGAAGTCATCGAAGCTTGAAACATTCCCATAAAAAGATATTGTTTTCAAAATTAGTTTGTTTGATATAGTCTTAAATTTGTTTAAAAAAAGCAAAAAAAGAAGAAAAATATTAAGAGCGATGGAGGGGAAGAAAAGATTAAAACATTGACAAAATACTAGTATTTAACTTGTTTCCAAGCTTAATTTTGAGTAATTTGAGATTTTTTAAAAATACCTCAAATTAAATTAAAAGAAAACAATTAAAATGAAGAAATATATTTTGTTTCTAGTCTTCCTCCTTTCTTATCATTTGTTATTTTCCCCTACTTTTAATTCTTATAACTTGGTTTATTTTATAATGTTGCTGTTTGCTATTTTCTGTTAGCTCTGTGTCTAAGCTGTGATAATTGTAGTAGTTACAAGTCCAAAACAGACCTCACCAAGATAATGATACTGAGTAAAATTAAATTGTTTGCGAAAAATCATGTACCTTTGGTAGCATTTTGAAGTCAATAAAGATAACCCCTAAGAACAACCAACCTTCACCAAGGACCATTCTACTGTGGAACAGAGAATGGTCACTCCCGGAAGGTTTCGCTGTAGTTACAAGTCCTTACAAACTTCACTTTACATTTGTTAAATTTTTTGTTGTAGTTCTACTTTATTAAAAACTTTAACATAAATATGTTATTTGTTCTTTAGATATTTTAATTTTATTTGTAATAGGGTAAACTAGAATAAAAATTCTTTCTATTTAAGCAAAAATTTATCATCACTTATTTGTTTTCTGCATATTTTCAAGCATATTAAAAATTTTACTTTTAATTCTATTTCATGCTGTGCATTAAGGGAAATTTTTAGAACATTGTAAATCATAATTTTTGTATGTAGTGATTTTTATTAAGCTATTCGAATATTTTAAGCTATTCAAAGTATTTTATTCCCGGTGTAAGAAATAAAATTCAAGTTCAAAATCTTCCAATCCGAAATCTTACAATGTTTTTTGTTCATTAAAAATTTATATATTAAGGAAAAACCTTCTCTGTTAAATAATTTCTTGGTACATTTGAAAGCAAAAAATTACAAGACTGTGAGCAAGATAATGTTTTGTTGCTAGAGTAAAACGAAAAGACTAATGTGTAAAAAAAATAAGGTGCTCTTATGAAATTTTTATTTCCCTTGCTTAGAAAATAAATCTGTACAAGTAATGTATTATTTATACTGTATATGAAGAAACATTTTTTGAGAAAAGATTTTATTGTGATTATAAAACTCATTGTAATGTTGAAAGGAGACAATGTAGACAAAACTGAGTGCAATTTTTATATGATATAAAATAAAAAAAATTGTTATTATATGATATAGAGTCTATTTATTAATATTTTAAAATATGTAATGATGAAGTTATGTCCCAAATTAAATTTGGTTGACTTTTTACAACTTCTGAATGTATTATGCTTATAAAAGTTTTACAATGCATATGTTTCATTTAAAGTTTATTATGTTTGTAAGGTATGTTATTTACATATATTCTTAAAAAAAAAAATTTTTTTAATACTTTTAAATTTTTTTAAAGGAAGATAAATATACATCTTTCACCTTATTGTCTATCCTTTTTAAAAATATTTATTACTGTAGTATTTATCAATTAATTTTATTATAATTAAACTGACTAGACATTTTCTAATTTCAACTATTCTTTTAAATTGACAAGTGCTACAAGTGTAGTCTTTTTTTACTCTTATGCCAAAATTTAATTAAGAAAATTAGCAAATTTTTAAAGAAATGCTCTTAATTTTTTTTATTTATTATTAAAATATAAATAAGTTGTAAAATGTAATATCTGCAGTTTTGGAAATTTTAAAGTATTAAGGTAACATCTTAACTTCACGAAACTGGTGAAAGTTTGCAGTGTATTTCACATGTTTATCTAATGTATTATGTGGGTGTATTATGTATATTTACTATTATTAATTCCATCTTTTCAACTCTTAAAAATTATTTTTGACGAAGTTTCATTTTGAATTTGTATATTTGTGTTAAATTTTTATTTTTCATTTATAATTTTAAATATTGAGATATTTGTTTTTAGGTGCCTGTAAAATACGTGGTCGACCTTCAAAACCGAACCCTACAATTCACATGTGCTTTTATTGTGATTATAAAACAAGACAAGCTACTCATTTTAAAGATCATATGCTGACTCATACAGGAGAGCGACCATATCTTTGTGAAGTTTGTTACAAATCATTTACTCAAAAATCAAATCTGAAATCACATATTAAGGTCCATTTAAAATCAATGAGAATGTAATGAAAGTGAAAATTTTCTTGTGAGTTTTTATTTTAATTTATTTTTTAACTATACTCCAAAACGTAGTGTAACTTAATTTTATGTTTATGCAACTACAGTGAAATCTCAGGTCATGAACACTACTGCAAAAACTAACACCTCTCATTGGAGACATATTTTTGTAATTCCCTTTGAATCTTATTTGAATAAATCATTATGTGTAAACCATTATTCTGCAAAGTGGATACTCCCTTAACCGGATGTGGACAGTCCTTTATGCCCCCAAACGTTATTTTCTATCTCTTCAAACTGGACACCATTTTTTCAAAATTTGAAAGGAAAAAAATCTTTTTTGCTTTAAATTAAAAAAAAATATATGTATGCATCTTTCTACCATTTTTAAAGCATAAAAATGTTTTGCTTTATTGATAACTAAAAGTATTGTTAAGCTATTTCACTATTAAAGAATTAATCATTCTCTTGTCACTTTCTTTTATCTTTGCAAAGGAAGGAGAGAAAATGATATAAGCTCATGTGAAATATTTTGAACAGCAGTATCTTTTTATCTGGATAACACAAATGGTGATGATATCCCAAAAATTAAAATGACGCTTTAAATCTTCTCAATTCACCTTCCCCACTAAAAATGCCTTTCTACTTCTAATTAATTTGACTCCTGTAATTAATACAGCTGTTTAAAAAATAAGATTCAAGTTATTGACATGCTCATATGAATCAAACGTTACTGCAGACACTTGACAAATGATCAACTGTGAGTAGAACAACTCTATAAGACCTTATGCCTTACAGGTAGGAATTTCGCTTATTTTTTTCTATGCATCACGTGAAATTTATCTTCACCTTCAAGGAGGTATTTCCAGGTTTTAAATCAAGTGATGACTAGGTGTTAGGGGTATAAACCTAATAATTTGAACCGATTGAAAAAGTAACATAAAACTAAAAGCATCTATTTGGTATCATATGAGTAACTTAAATACCTGAACTTAAACTTTTGATCATAAAGTAAATTTCAACGAATAACGTAACTTAAAAAACCTTTTCTGTAACTGCCTTTTCTGTAGCTATATATATCTTATTGTAAAAATTATAATTTTTAAAGTTTAAATAAATATCAAAATTGATAGCCATTATACATTATTTGCAATTATATTAAAAACAATTAGCAACAAACTTTGTAATTAGTTTAATTTTTTTCGATTCCAAGAGCATCCTCATAACCAGAGGTTTCACTGTAATATTCGTTTCATTTTTCCGAATTTCATTAACAAATACGAATGCTACCACATGTCACTGGCCAATTTAATCTTAAATTTTATGCACAAATGCGTTTTAAGGCTTACAAATTACGTATGAAAACTTATTTATTAATTTTTATTTTATCTGTATTGTTATAAAATTATAGTTATATTAAATATGTTCATAATTCCTTTTTTTTTTAACCAGTATACACAAATCATTTTGATAGTTTTAAAGCTTGAGTGTTTTCTTTAAAAGGATACTTCAAGGATATTTTTCATTAAAATGGATGCAATAAAATAAGTGTTTTTTAATTTTTAAGAATTTACAAACTGTTTTTCTAAAATAGTTTTTATTACAAAAATTGTTTTATGTTTACAAATTTTATACTTTTGTTATATGTTATAGATAAAAAGTTTAGATAACGCTTATATTAAAAAAATAAAAATTAATAGTTTCTGAGAAAATAATCATACACATTTCATCATATACATTATGGACAGCCAGCAACCTTTTTAATTTGTTTTCTTTTCTCTACTCCCAAACACTTCCCATAATGTAAAAATGATATTTGTGAATTAGTTCGTTTGGATGGTGCGTGCTACAAATTTTACAAACTTTAACTGGTATATATTTATAGAAAAATTTTCAGAATTAAACTTCATTTTGTACATTTGACAGTTTTAAAGATGTATTTATTCTTTTATTTATGCAACATTATGGTTTTATGTATATTCTAAAAATAAAGTTTTATAGTAAAAACAACATTGATCTGTGGTTGAATATTAGAACAACCGAAATTTTGCACTATCGGTTAAAGAAAATCCCATTTTTAAAATGCAAAAATGAAAGGACAAAAATTGCTTTCATCAAATTAGTTAAATATTCTGAATAGAAAATTATTTACTGAAAAAGTTATTGAAGAAATTGAATAAATTAAGTCAAGTATTCAATAATTGTATAAATAAGTTAAGTTTAATTTTAAAATTATTATTAATATATTAACTAAAATATTAGTTAATATATAATAAACACCTACTTATTTATTTTATTAAATGCTTAAAATATACTGTAGGAATCTTTTCAGTGTGTCTCATTATCCTTTTTTATCTTTCTACATATTATTTATTTTTCTTCCCTATGTTAAGGTTATATATTCCGTTGTTTAATTTTTAATGAATTATCTGAGTGATTAAATTCTTCACCTACCTATTTACTTCTAATGAATGATCAAATTGTACTGCAGGAATTCTTTTAATTTTTATATATGTGGTATGTTATTTATTTACCTTCCCTATGTGAAAGTTGTATATTTCATTATATAATTTAAAAAAAAAACATTTTTTCAAAATACAAATCAAAATTTAAATTTATATATAATTAATAGAGCCTGGATTTTGATGACCAAAAAAATCTCAATTAATGCCCTTAAAAAGTGCAAAAAATGCCCTTATGGACTGCAAAAAATGCCCTTAAAAGTGCAAAAAATGTCCTTAAAACGCGAAAATTGTGCTAAAAATGCCTTATGACATGACTTAAATAGAAGTAAAAATATTGAACTAAAACAATGTTTTACTCTTTAAAATTATTATGAGTCGTTTCAAAAAATATAAAGCAATGCAATACTTGTTCTACGTTCATTAAAGTTTGACAAATATGTTTTATATCCAAAAATAACAACAAAAAAAGGAAAATATATTGACTCCAAAACATTTTCATTTTGTACAGAAACTTAAATGAATATAACAACTTCCATCTCGTAATATTACTAAATATCAGAATTACAGTGGATTAGAAATTTTTTTTTTAATATTTTGAAATGTAAACGAGCGTCTTTTGTCTGAAAGCAAATTTTTATACCAGGAGAAGTTTGTTTCAACGTCTACTGATGTTATTGGTGCGTACTTGAAAAGGACGGTCACACTTACTGACAATTCTTCTTCAATTTGAAAAGATGTTGCTTCACCTGTTAATATCTTAAAAATTTTCTTCATTGTTTGGAAGCCAGTGTAATAATAAAAAATTATAAAAAATAATAAAAATTAGAAAAATTTAACAAAAAATTTAAAAAATGCTTTAAAATGCAAAATACGCCCCAAAATTTTAAAGAAAATGCCCTATAAATCTCAAAAAATGCTCTAAAGGACAAAAAATGTCCAAAAATGCAAAAAAATGCAAATGTCATAAAAATCCGGGCCTTAATAATTAATAATATTTTTTTGTAATAATAATAATAAATAATTGACTTTTTGTAGAAATGACAAAATTGACTCACTGTTTTATGTTCTTTTTGCACTAATGAGGACATATAGTTATAACAACAATTTGCCGCATGATGTTGGGTATGAAAGCGAAAGAGGAGTACTGTGAGAGTATGCCTGCTTGGTGAAACTGAAGAATACAATTATATAATTATAACAATTTGTATAATTCATGGCAATTATAATTTTGCTATTTTTTAGCTCTAAAATATTACAATTAAACATATTTTATAATGTATGCAAAGAAAAGGGGGAAAAATTTCTTTTTCATAGAAACTTATTCTGATAATGTATCTTAATACGGTGTATAGGATAAGCACATATCATATGAAACTTGCATATTTAAATAACAGCATTACATTAAAATAACATCACCAAATTATTTTTAAGGAAAAGCTGTCTTTTTGTTTATCCAAACTTATTCCATCAGTATATGTTTTAACCATCAGCATATGGGATAAATGTTAAGATGGGATAAAACTTAGAATTTTTTTATTTTAAATAATTGTAAAATAAATTTTCACTTTTAAAATTGTAGAAATTTATTTTGAAATGATTCTTTTACTTTGAAATGATTTTTCCCTACATTATTTAAAATTTATTTAGAGTTTGAATAGCCTTAATATTTTGTTTTCATGAGAATAATTTAAATAAATTATTTTTTAAAATATCAAGTAATTAAAAGGATTTAAATAATCAATTTTTAACCTTTGATTTAAATCCTTTTATCATCCTGATTCAATATAAGTAAAACTTTATCTAAAAAATATTGAATGGAGTAGTTTTTCACTTGACAAACAGCCACTGCTTTGGAGTGCAGTGTAGATCTACCTCCTCGTGGTGCACTCTGGACAACGTCTAGTACGGCAAAATGATCTACAAATGTGTCACACATTTGAGTTTATAATTCAGCAATTTTTTCTTTTGATGCATTCAAATTTTTTTTTCAATCATAGCTCTATAAATATTTCTATGTCAATAATGCATTGTGAGCAGTAAAGGAACATCTAAGGATAGTTTTTGATAAAATGATCAGATGCTCATCTTCTACTATCACCTGATCTTACTGTTTTATGAATTAGAACTTAAATATGCTGATGATTTAATCACCAAAAGGGAATAAAGAAGCCCAAAACAAAATACCAATGAAAAACTGTATTTTGAATTTATATACATTTCTTTTTTTATATATTCATTTTCTTTGTTAATTTTCCGAATTTTCACTATGAAATTTAAGCGCTTTTAACCGTTTCTCACTAACCGTTTTCTCACTCTTTAATTATTTACTGTATTCTATTTGTGGGACTCAAATGTTATGTTTTCATTCAAATTCATGTCAAATAAATTCTATTTTTATATTTCATTAGAATGATTATATTTTGGAGAATTTAATTCCCTTAGTTAATTTTTGAACATACTGTGATTTATTCACTCTTAAGTATTTTTAGAACATTATGCTCTATCTTAAGTTTATTTTTTACATAACGCTTGCATTGAATAAATCAAACAGAAAAAGAATTATTTGTTATGCAGAAAATCAGTCAAGCTCCTATTTCATGCCCTGAGGGATAATAGTTGTGAATGAGTCTTTCCCCCCTTTTTTTACAGTGAAGGCAAAAACAAATATTTTCTTATAGCATCATCATCGAAATCACGACAACCCAGGAATTCAATTTTTTCTTCTGCATGACAATGGTCCTCAAGTTTTTTAATGTTTATTATATCTTTTTATTTTTATCATGTAATTTTTATCTAAAGCTCTATATTTTTCAATAATTTCAAGGAAGAAAGTTAGTATTTCTTCATGTATTATTCTTATAATTTATATTCTTTTATTTTGTATTTTCTTTTAATTTACTCTCAAATTTCATTGAATCTAATTATGTCTATTGATTTATATGTAAGTTTTTCAAGGCATTGTAAAAAAATTTTTTTGCAGGGTTATCTGTGATCATCTTTTTCATCAGTAATTTGTTTATTCTTTAAATTAAATTTATTTAAAGTTAAGCCTGCTTCGATTCTAACAGTTGATAAATTTACATAGAGTAACAAATTAATGGTTACAGTAAAGTATGATAGACCATGGCAAAACAAACAATTTATGCCATATGATGTTGGGTAAGATAGTGAAAGGGGAACTGTGAGAGTATGCCTGCTTGGTGAAAATGAAGAATACAATAAAGACAAAATATAAACAATCCTTATTATTAAAAGTTTTTCAAAAAGTGTTTACATGAACAAATACTAATTGCAATACAATCTTTATATTGGTCGAAAATAACTGTCGAAACTTTAATCGTAACAATAACTGTCAAAAGTTTAATCGTAACACTATGGATTTACGAAGCAAAATTTTTTACTTCACAAAAGTACCACTGGAATCAAAAGATTCAAGAGGCGAAGAAACACGCCCATCCTGGATTTTTCCTTTGTTCGCGAGGCAATATCTATGTAGTTTTACTTCCCACGGCATGCCCTTTACTTTCCAACACTGCATTGTTAGGCATTGAAGTTGTTTGTTTCCGCTAGTTCTTCAAGCTTTACAGCAGGGATCATTTGTTTTTTACATCTTGCATTACTTCAGTAACTCATTATTTTTTAGCTGTTGCTTTTGGGAACTGAGAAGTTGATGATTTTAATTCATTCTTTTATCTCTGAGTCATTAGTTAAATTATTGCTGAATTACATTTTAGTAATATCTGTATTCAGATGAGCAAGAAAAATGTTTTTGTTAAATTTAAGCATATAAAACTCTTTGCAGGTGCTTTCTCACATTCTGCACAAATTTGGAAACCGGCAGTAAGGCGATTTCATTTATGTCCTTTTTGTAACTATTCAACGATGAAGAAGAGTCATTTACGGGATCATATATTTACTCATACTGGAGAACGTCCATTTACTTGTGAAGTGTGCGGTAAAAGTTTTACTCAGAAATCAAGCTTGAAAACTCATTCTATAGTACACAATAAACATATCACAATCTAATTGTCGCAATATGTTGTTTGGATAATGGGGAAAAAAACTCATTTTTGTTAATGTTATTTCAATCTGAATGTGGAACATGCCAGCAAAATTAAATATAAAACATATTTAAACAACTCATGTACAATGTGTAAAGCATATACTGTATGTTATAAAAATAAATGATTAAAATAATTATTTAGGAAATGTACCGGTATGAGATAAATTACAATTTGCTGTTTCTGTTTTAGAAATTAGATCATTTTTTATCTTCCAAACTCCAAAATCAACTTCAGTTTGTCAACAAATAGTGTTGCTGACTGTACTAATTGTTGACAACGGAATATATCAGTTGGACTATTTAAACTGAAATATTTGCAAGGACATGTGATAATTTTGCCCTCAGTTCTAATTCATTTATAAATTTGCGCCCCACATTGTTGCTATAAATAACATACCTGCCAAGTCTTCTGTTTTTTTAAAGAGGACTACTGTATTTTAGGACTATCTCCTGTTTACTCATATATTCTCAAATTTCTCCGTATTTCTTAAAGAAATTAAAAAAAAAAAAAAAAAAAAAAAAAGACTTTTGGCGATAAATATCCGCTGATGGCAAAAATACTTTTTTATTCCTCAATACTTGGCTCTTTGCCAGTACTGCAGTATGTTGAGTATTTATAGTTTAAGTAATTATATTTTATGGTTTAAAAAAATCTTCTTTAGATTAAGATTTATATAAATATTTTTTCTTTGCTAAGTGTGAGTGCTTATATTATTTCTAATTTTGACTTACATGATTATGCATAATGTATCAAAACTTTACTTATAGGCCAATAAATGGCGTTAGTAAAATCTCCGTCTATTTATTTCTCCAAAGTTGGCAGGTATGAAAGTGTTATTTTGAAAATACTGTTGTGTAGATTTCTCAACTCAACAGTACCATGTGTTGATGAACTTTGTACTTATTTTTGAAAATAATGACATAATCATTAATTTGAAATAATATAGTTTCCTAAGCGGAATGCAGCAAAATATGATTTTTTTTGTCTCCTTCCATTTTTGTTTAAATTATTTTTCAAACCCTTGGTCATTTTTAAGGTGCCTGGTGATAGATAATATTTAAATTTTGTTGTAATCTCTGATTGTTTTAAATGGTTTTGATAAGTTAAACAGTTTTTAAATGTTTTCATTTGTTATTTAATATTTTAAAGATAAAATGAAAATTATTATAAATATATGTTTTGTATTAAATTGTTTTAGGTAAATCAAATTTATAGCTCTATTTTATGTCAATAAAATATAAATTAAAAAATTTAAACATTTTTAATTTTCAACTAGTATTGTTTTAGTATACTCATTCCATAAAAAAGAAACACATTCATATATGCAAAGTGTTTATTAGTCATAACACTTTGGATTCTGTGTTCATTTTTTTGTGTATTTTATTTATTGTAAAGAAGTTTCAATAATAATTTTTTATAATATATTTGTTTCTCACGTTATTAAAATTTCATTTAATAAAATATGTATTACTTATTTGAACAGTTATTTTTCTTTTAAACTACATTTATTCTTTAATACTTTTAACTTCTAGGTTATAAGACTAAATATTCTAAAAGTAAGTATGTACTTTCATTAATATTAAAATCCTATTGTTTTATGCTTGTTAATACTAAATTTTATGTTTCTTCCTAAAACCTCTTGAGGTTGAGCATTTCAGTGCTTTTTATTCCTTCCAGAATGTACTTGCCTAATGATATAGCTGTGTCTTCAAACTTGCTAATTTTAAGTTGCACACAGTCCCCCACCTGTTATTTATCTCTCACAACACTGTGAAAAGCTAGTTTAGTTTTTTAATGTAAATACTCCTTAGTTTAATAAGAATTTTTTCACTTTGTCCAACGAATTAAAAGCAAAGTAGAGGAATTTATACAGGGTTTAAAAAAAGTTTGGAAACAGTCAAATATCTTGAAAACTGTACATCACATCAAAAAGTGAAATTAGACACATTCAATGTTTTTTGAAAGCTATCTGATGATACTAAACTTGATTTTCAATCTCACCTCCCGGAGCTGGGAAGGAGGGTAACTTTTAAATCTTAAATAAGAAAAAACAACCCTTATTTTTTTATTACAGATTCAGATTCTCCAGAAAAAAGGTAACCCTATTTGAGTTTTAAGTTCATCCATTTGCTTCACAGATGGCGCTGTAACTGAGAAATGAAATAGTGGTAACTTGAGAGCTGTCAGATTAAAAATAAAGAGTAAAACTAAAAGTGTTTCTGGATTTAAAAAAAATTGAAGTAAACTTGTCCATTTTAAACAGCTTGTACCCCATTTAATTTCTCTCAGTTGCAGCCCAACCTGTGAAGCAAAATGCATAAACCTGTGCTCAAATTGGGTTACTTTTTTCTGGAGAAGCGCAATCTGCAATAAAAAATTGAGGATTTCAGTGTTGTCGCATCCTGTCCCCAGGGAGTGGAGGTGTATGATTAAGTTTGGTATCATTGGATAGCTTTTAAAAAATATTGAATGTGACTATTTTCACTTTTTAGGTCCAATGTATATTTCTCAAGATATTTTCCAAGGTTTTTTTCCACTCTGTATATATATTTACGAAGAGTATGTATGATATTTTTTAAATGAAAAAAGTTAGCAGTTTCAAGAACTCTTTATATTTTACTTCCTTATCTCTTATTCACGTCTTATTTATTATGTTTATTAAATTTGTATGTCATTAACTTTATTATATGTAGAGATATATGTGTCTTCTTTACATATAATAAAATTAAGAATTTGTCATCAATGTAAGTAAATTTTAACAAGTTTTTGACGTTTTCCAAAGGAGAAAAAAAGTTGTTTGTATGTTTCTGTTTATTAAAAAACCTATATGTTTGAATTTTCAATAAGTCTTTCTACTACATTTGTATTAAACATACTTTGACTCATATTTATTGTTCAGGTTTTTAAAAAAATTATGCAAAAGGAGAAAAAGAGTAAAGATTTATATCTTTTAACTCTCACAGTGGTATTTCTGCATTTTGAAATTTTAATATTAATTTCTGTAGTGCTTATTTTCCATAGTATTTAATTTTTGTAGCGTAATTTTTGAGTAGTTTTTAATTTTTGTAGCAGAATTTTTGAATAGTTTTTAATTTTTAAGCAAATATTTGAACTACACGTTAATTAAACCTGTTTTGGTCAGATTTTGGTTAACAAGCCATAATAAAATGCATGATATTACAATTTTCTTTAAATGCTCTAGTTGGTATTTTTGTACATTGAATTTTTAATGTGATCATTTATTTTTTTTCTTCCATTTACTGAAATGAATTTCAAAAATTAAAAATTTTTTCTATGTACATTTTTCTATATTTTTTTTCCTGGTAGGCTTAAAAAATTTTTATGCCCTATTGGTCACGTACTTTTATTGGAAAGCCTTATACTGAATTCCACAATCAATTGAGAAAATTTTTCTTGTTTAATTAGTTTTTTCCTTCATCATAGTTTCATACTTCTCTTCATGTATTTAGGCTCATCTTAAAAAATATTAAAAAAAGGTGTAGTATTATTAAATATATTTACTAGTTACTAATTGATTGTAATTGTATAATTTTAATTATTTATTAGTTTTAGCAGTTTTTCTTTGAATTTAAAAATATTTCCTTTGAATAAAGGGTGATGGGAACTGAAGGGATACAACAGAATTCTATTATAATTTCTAATTTTTTACTTCCAGGTGAATCTCTAACTTTTAATACTTCTGCAATATTTCATGCTCCAACTACTCCATATTTTGTCTGTCGAATTTGTGAATATTGCACCACAGTTAAAACTAATTACAATAGGCACATGTTAGTTCATACAGGTGAACGTCCACATGTTTGTGCATTGTGTGGAAAAGGTTTTATACAAAAGTGGAATTTGAAAATTCACATGCTTGTTCATTCTAAAAAATAACTTGTTTCAAATCAGATTTTATTTTGCTGAATATGTTATTGAAAATGTTAGCACATGTCATTGATATCTTTATACAGTTTCTTGTCTTTGTTTTTTAAAAATTTAAAGTTATTTAAACTTGAGTGTACAGTAATGTTAATTGCTTTTCCTTTTAATTTAAGTTTATATTTAATTAAGCTATAAAAATGCTTTTGTGTTGAGTAAGAAATATCTAGGTGATCCCCAAATAAAAAATATACCATTAACCTGATTAGTGGGGAAAATTTCTAAATACTCCACCATGTGTAATATACCTTCTTATACTGCTGTGCACACACTAATAGTATACTTACTTACTTTGCTTTGGAGAGGGTCCATATCTTTTATTTGTGTAATGTGATATTTTTAAATAATGACTGCTGATTATTATAAATAGCAATAAGCTAGCGAATTAAAATAAAAATAAATGCAGCTTTTAAAAGGGTAATCAACACTGTACTTTTTGAAATGAAACAAAAATGAACAATAAAAAAGTACAGTAGAGCAGTGATTATCTGGTATGGCTAAACCGAAAGCTATTCATTTAACAAAATATCCAGATAGTTGGTAAACTCTAAAGAACAGCCTTCATGTTTTTTGGGTAACTTAGCTCTTTTTTTCAAGCCTAAGGCTAGCAATTGTAATGATACATGTTTTTAGTATATTATAAATGGTATAAATTATTTGGGCCCACTTTCATCTACATTCCTATTTTTAATCTGAAGAATATCTATTTATTTTTTATTTGTCTATAATGATGTTTCAAATTGACATTTAAACTTCATTTAATTTTTTAAACCTATTTTCTGACTTCTTTTCTTTATTTATCATTATTTTATAAATTTTTCGTTAAGGTACTATTCGGGATTTTTTTATTAAACACTATTTTGGATTTCATTATTTTCATTCTAAAATGCTTTTTTCTATTTTTTTATAGTTTGTATATTTATTCCAATGACTGTATGAATATTATTAAAACCTTTTGTATTGTTTATTACTGAACATTCAGTTATAATTACCTAACCATTTAACAATTTTCATGTTTTATAATTTTTATCTTCATATTTTCATATTTGTTTGGATTGCAAAAAATTCTATTTCCCATTTTTATAAACTATAAATAATCAAATTCATTTTTCTTATAGTACTATTGAATAAGTATGAATTTTTAAAATTATTTTTGTATTATTGAGGCACTTGTGTAAAAATTATAATGTATTAGCTTTTTATGATTATTTTTCAGTTACAGTTTTAAATTGTTTCAATTGTAACATTGAAAATATCTTCATTGTTTGGTTATTATTTACTTTTATAGATTTAATTACATATCTTATATATATTATTATCTATCTGACTATTGTTCTGTACTATTACAGATAATTTAAAAAAGAACAAGAATTTTTAATTCAATTTTATTTACTTTAAATCTGATGCTCAAATCACTTGCCTGGAAAAGTTTATACTATTGAATTTTGGTAATCCGAATTACAGATTATGCTAACCAATAGAACTTTTCAAAAATTATAAATAAAAAGATTCATATAATAAATACAAAAAAATAACCAACCATTTGGTGAATAATACAATGAGAAGGCAAAATAGGAATTTTAAATAGGTATTTTAATCGACAATTAAATTAGTTCCCATACTTTCCACAAGTACTCTAGTAATTATTTATCACATAAATAAGAGGGGTGGTTTGGTTGAATATTGAAAAATGATCAGACAGTAACACAATTTGCTTCCATCTTAAAAATAATTAGCATTGGAAACAAAAACACTAAATGCATCATGATAAAACTCTGTTTTAAGACAAAGTTTTGCTTCTGACACAAAAATAGAATGAAAAATCAAAAAGTATCAAAATTTTGGAAAATCTTATTAGGCTATGGTTCCTATTAATGAATTCTACTATATAAATATTTTTTTTATTAATATAATTATAAAACTTCAGTACTATATATTTAATAGTGCTTCTTCTACATTTGTTGCTTAAAATCATGTATTAAAAACAATAAAGTTTCTTGTATTTTTCTGTTTATAATTTTCTGAGTTATTGTATTAATATCAATGCAGTTAAAAACTTTTTATAAATTATGATTAATTATCATTGACTTTTCTTTGTGGTAAATCCTGTATTTTATTCTTAAAGTTGTTGTATTTTAAAGTTTTAAAGCAAAATTATACATTCATATTCATCCTCAGGGAATTTAAAATTTACTTTCACTTTAAGCCTGCATCCATATTTATAAAAAAGGCATTTAATTAATCCTTCAAGTTGGACTCAATTGGAATTAATGTTGTAAAATAAGTTGTTTTCTCTCACTTTTATGATGTGTCTGATTTATTTTAAAAATCTAAAGTTTAAAAAGGTTTTTGAAAATCTGCATTTATAGAATTATTTAATGGAATTAAATTTTTTTAAATAAAATTTAGTATATTATTTTATATTATATAATATTATTAATTATTCAAAAACAACACTTTGTAAATTTCGTTAAATTAGTTTTAAGATAAACCTTGTAGAAAATATGAATACAGAATTTTAAGCCTTTTTTACTAAGTTTAACAATGTGTCATGCATATATCTGTTAATTGCTGATAAACTCTTTCAGAGGTTGTAAATTTATTTGAACACCTTGTTGAATTTTTAAAATTCTATCATTCTATGAGATAAATTTTTTTTTTTCAATACTGATAATTTTTTATCTGTTGCATTTCTATGAAATTAAATAAAGAAGAAAAAATATTGAATTCATGTTTAAATTAATCACTAATGTGTGCCCAGAAAATTTATATAAATGATTCAAAAGCTTAAAATATTTACTAGTTACTACTTTAGTTTGGTATACTATTTGAAGGAAAAAATGAAACACATTTTGTTTGTGCAAAACTTTAATATTGAATTGAAAGTCTATTTTACACCTTGTTTGACTCATCATTTTATAAGATAGCCAATTATTTATAATTATCTTGTTAAATAACTTTGTTAAAAAGTTCATTTAAATAAATGATTAATTATGTGGAAAAAAAACTAATAACTAATTTATATTTAATTTATTTTTATGTGTTCCCTTGAACATATATGTAAATGTTAAAATAGGTTTTATTATCTATAACTTCTACCCAAAATAACTAAACGTTTGTCAAATAAATTTGGAAAGTCAGGTGTTACTGTAAAGCTTTTATGTATTAAAGATCGTACACATTAAATTTTATCTCTTAACCTTTTTATTATTTAATAAAAAAAGGTATTTTGATTAAATTAAGCTAATGGACATAAATAAAAAAATATGAAAATAAGCAAGTTTTTAATTCATTTTGTTGGAGTTTATGGATTTACTTTTAATTTTCTAGGGTTAGTTTTCATTGTAAAATTTGTTGTATATGTTTTTATTGTTCATAAACATCTTTTTCTATAAAATTAAATTTATTATTTAAATAGATTAGAATATTTATTTATAATTTCTTTATTATGTTTATACAGTGCAAATCTTAGTTTCTGAACAGTAAAATATTTTAAGAAACTTTCATTTAAAAAAATATTTGCGCTAGTTGTATATATTTTGCTATTTAATGATGCCAAATAGTTCCTATCACTAACCCTTTAGGGCAAGGGATTAAAATTAGCTGTGATTATTTAAATCCTATGTTTTTTTACAAATGTCAATATTTTTTTATTGAAGTTTTCGGAAATGTTATCAATATTTTCCAACTTAAATATTAATGTTATTTTCTTAGAAAATATTGATTTCTTCATTGCAATTTTTGATCATGTTTGCTGAAATTTTAATTTTATTTTATATTAAATTTATGACATATTATTCATAAAACACCATTGGTCAAAAGCATGATTTTTAAATTATATATTCTAAAACAATCCTGCTGTTGATACATCATAATATTTCTAAGTTTTGCTTCATTTCTACACAAGGGGTAAAGAATTTGGAAAATTTTGGCACTGTTGAATAGTTACTATACTTGTATAATCCATTTTATTTGTATTTTTGAAAAATTAGATTTTTACAGGACTTTTTATTATCTATGAATATAAAGTGCACGATATATTAAATCTTTCATCCAAAACTCCTTTTTTTCCCCATATTTTTTTAAATAGACTTAATTAAAATTCTTTTATGTCAGTCAAGCAATCATTATAAAATTCTTAAAATTAGTCACAAAATAAAATGTGAAGATTTAGGCCGCCATTAATTTCCTAATCCATCATTTCTAATTCGCTTTTCAATTTATTTTGACTTCGTTGTAATTGCTATATTAGAACATTTATGCTATTAAATTGTTGATAAATAGGCAGCAGATTTAGAGAGTACATTATTCACTTGAATATGTCCAATTTCAAGTCTTGTTTATTTCTTTCTTTTTTGATAAGCTATTGATAGCTCTGATAAGCCATTAATCTATTGCTACTCAAGAATTTTAAATTTTTTTCTCTCAATTTTTATTTTTGGTAAAGATATATTTTTAAGCATGTTAATTTAAATTTTTACTGATTACTACTTATATCAGCTTTTAAAATGAAATATAAAAGTTATACTGCATAAAAATGCCATGCATATATCTAGTAATCACAATTATTTTTTTTCTTCCTAAATTAGTTATTTTATTAAAATTGTAAGCCGTTGTAAAAAGGAACATTTTGGATCAAGGATCTAATTTACTATTAATTATTATTTTATAAATATTATAATTTTTAGATTTTATTGCTCCTAAATAAACTTGAAGGTGTTCTTCAAAGCTCTCTGGTTACAGAAAATTAAAAAAACAGCAGTTTGAGTGGCATAAACTTGAAGAAAAGCTTGAAATTATAATTTATATATATTATCTTGTTGATAAAAATTATCTATTAAATAAATGATCCCAAGAAACTGAAGCTGTAATATATTACTTAATTGAAAACTTCAAAAATATGCTAAGCAAATAATAGTATCAGGCCTGCTTACCACTACACTTGTAGCAAAATATTTTATAGAGTGGTAGATAATTAAAAACCAAAGCTTTCAGAAATTTTGGTAATTTTGCTAACATATTTAAAGCCTCACCACGAAAGAAGTAGACCAAAGTGGCGTTGCACATGAACTTTTAAATCATTTATATGTAGTGGTGTGGAAAATAAGTTTAAATGAATAAAAAATAATGCATTTAAACATATACTTAGCTACCACTCGAATAAATTTTGACAAAAAGAGTAGGAAGTTTGCAGTAGGCATGTTTCAAACATTCAAAGACAGGGACTTATTCTCAAGAATTGCCAGACATGATTATGTCACATCTGGTAAGTCTTGAAAATGGGAACCTATTTTCGAGCCCTTGAAACATGCTGACTGTTTTTTGCAATTTGCATATTTTTGAAGCAGCTGAAGTTTTTATCAAGTAAGAATTATCTATACTTTAAAAGAAACAATTTGCTTGAATATTTGGAAAAAAAAAACTATTTAACTTTCTAAAAAATTACCAGTTTGGTTAGACGTTTCCACCTAGGAGAAAGTCAATAAACTCAATATATGCATGTTTTTTTTTTTGTCCAATCCATGCAGCATTAAAGTTGTGCAAAAATTAGATCACTTACTATTTTCATTTCACTAAACTAAAGCTTTTCTTCATATTGCCATTTTGCGCTATTTTCATAATTATTATAGATAGTGATGATGAATATGGACAAAAACTAACCTGTCAGTGACAAGCTCGCAAATGTTATAAAAATAAGCATATTATTTTCTAAAAAATATTTTGCGTGACCACAGAGTCTTTGAAGAAAGTCCTTAACTTTTGATTTGTTCATAATTTTAATGAAGTTTTAAAAAAAGTATTTATATTTTTTAAAAAAAATTTCTTTTTCATTCTAGGATACAAAATTGTAAACTCTAAAATTTCTTCAATATCATTTCTAAAACCTCGCCGGACCACTACGCATCAGTGTTCAACGTGTGGATTTTCCACCACTTATAAACATGCTTTTAAGCGGCATATGTATCTTCATACTGGTGAGCGTCCATATGTTTGTAATGTTTGTGGCAAAGGCTATACAGAAAAAGGCAATCTGAAAACCCATATGATGATGATTCATGGAGGATATCCCATAAGTACTTAAAGAATAAGTATATATTCTTTGTGTCTTGAGAACTTTTAGTGCCTCCACACTACTATGCAGTGATGTGTAGAGTACATCAATGGTAAATGATTGATTACAATTTCAGTATTTCAGACAGGTACACAGTTAGTTGATAATTTATTTTTGTTTACCAATATCAATATGTTTTAATATTGTATAATATAATGAAAAAAGCAGTCTTAATACTCATATGATAATTCATGGGATGATCATCATATAAATACTTAAAAGTAAAGGTTGTAATCGTGTCTTCAGAACTTATCGTGCCTCCACACTAACTATGCAAATATGTGTACTGTGTATAAATGGTAATATGATTGATTACAATTTCAGTATTTATTTTAAGATAAGTATAAGGTTAGTTACTAGTTTATTGTTGTTTACCAATTAATACTGTTCTTCTCTCTTTCATTTTAAAGTTTGTGAACATTACAAGTGAATATTTACAGGGTTTTGCTATTCATGTGATGTTATTTGAAATTGTAAACATTTTGTGTTTACTTTCATTAATGATTTTTAATCATTATAGTTATTTTATTAGGAGAGTGGCTACGGTTTCATTTTAGTGTGACAAAGTATCTTGTGATTATACATATTTATTACTTTGTATGTAGTACGTAGCATAAGTTGTAAGCATTTACTTGATTGTACAGAAGCAAATTATTCTAATGATTTATTTTGTAGTGCCTATAACTATATTTGGTAATGATTATTTTCTCTGCCGTTTTAATTGAAAAAAAAAAGCTCACATGCTAAAAATATAGAGTAATTTTGGAGTATTCTGAAACATATTGTGTTAAATATTATAGGTTTCTATAATTATGAATCAGATTGAAATTAATTTTAGCTTAATGCTCTATTTGTTTTTAAAATTAAATTTTTTATCTAAAGAAACAAAGAAAAAGTGTTTCTTTAAGTTTTAAAACTTAAAAAGCACTTATACAATGCTCTATTTTATTTGGGCAGGTGCATTAAATTAACTTTCTTTTTTGAAGAAATAAGCAAAAAAAATGTTTACCAAGAACTTAAGATTAAAGCTCAAAAAGCAGTTTAAAATGCTTTCAAGTTTAAAATTACTAAAGTTAAGAATCAAAAAGCTTTATTGTAAACTAATTAATGCATTAAATTCAAAAAGCAGTTAACACGAAAAAGAAGTATTTGAAATTTCTTCTTGACTGGAATGTTAATTAAATTGAGAGTGTTAATTTTGTTTTTCTGTTAGCAAACATTAACAATATGCGTTTGTTTTTTTAAAATGCATTTAAAAAATTTCCCATCTAGTTTATACTGCGATTGTTATATTGTTTTAAAAATCAGTTAGAAATCCTTTCATAAAGAAAAATATACTCAATAGGTTTATTTTTTAATTGTTAAAGTTTCTTTGTATTCAACTGTTTTATAAACTATCTAACTCTGCGCAATTTTTATGTATATTTCTGACTGACACATGAAAACTTCCTTCCCCATATATTATTTTTTGTCACAAAATGTTTTATCTAATAATTTTTCATTTTGAAATGAAAGCTGCTATGTCATGTTTTGTCACATTTTTTTTATAGAATTTTTGTGGTTTTCCAGAGATAATTACCCAGAAGATAGATACATAGACTAATTATTATTAACTATTATTGTTCATAACAACTTTGCTTCTTGTGATGACTTCATTTTTTTCCTTTTCAGTCGCCTGAAATTAATACGATATAATTATTTCACCTTTCTCTTTATGTTATTTGGCATATATATTAGGTAGATAAATGAAATCTGAAATAGGATTCGATAATTATTACTTTACTTTGTTTTGTAGTAAAATGAATAGATTCAATTATTGGCATTTCTAAAAAACTGTTAAAAAAAAGGTTTATTAATTTTATACAAATTTAATTTTATTAGTTATTAACTTTTCAGTGTCTCCCAATCAATTTTTAAAACTGGTATTATGAAATTTCAAATGTAAATGGTTTGACCTATATCTGTGAACACAAAAACATTTGCAAAATAAACATATTAACATAGTCATACCCAAAAACATTTTTTGTTAAGTATTTGGTGTTAGTTGGTTAATCATCAAATATGGAATTATATAAACCTCACTTTTCCATCACCAGGACTTCATAGAATATCTATATATTGTTGTATAGTTACTATTTAAATAAATTTAGTTGAAAAAATAAAAATATAATAGGAGTGATCGTATCAGTAACAAAACATTGTTCAAATTAATTACCTGATCCTTCGTTCCAGAAGGATCTCCAGGTTTCGTAACTGGTCGATTAGTGCATTTGAGATGAAGTTAAAGAGGGCACACCACACAGTTCATTAGGAAGTGCTAGGAAACTTTTATTTTATTCATCAGACATACTGCTGGTTCACTTTGATGGAGCTGGCTCTCCTTTCACCATTTCTAATCATTCTATTAGAGCACACAGTTTCAAATTTCCATTCGAACGAGGCTTCCTTTTTATCTCCTTTACAAGGAATTATTCTCGCATAGACGATTCGTAAACACCTGGATTGTAGAGTTGGTAATTGTTATCATGGAAACTCGTCAACCATTGGCGACACTGCACACGTGCTGCTCATCTTAATTTTGCCAAAGATTAAATTAAATTAAATATGCTTTTCCTTTAAGAATTTAGTTTATTTGAGAGACTTTAAAATTTAAATATTGATTTACATCTTACACCTTATAAGGGGTGAAGCATTTGAAAATCTTATTGGGAGGAGAACTTGAAAATATCAAAAAAAGACCGTTGTTTCTCTCACGTTGCGGCTTCCTCAACTGCCGCCAAGAAGGCACACGGAAAAGAGCAAAGCGGTATACGGTTAAAGTTAGGGTGGGGGAAATCGATAAGAAAAATTAGTTGATCAAGTTAAATGTAGTGAAAGGCTATTGCGGTTAAAAGAACGAAAACTGCAAAAAACTATTGAGAAGTAGAAAAACAACGCACGTGTGATGTAGCAACATCACATATATCTATGAAGTGCTTGTGCCAATATTGAAATAAATCTCATTTCTTAATTGTTTAGGAGAGTATTTGATGTATACCATGATATTGTGAAGGCAGAAAGGTATTTCTACGCATTGTGCTGCTATCTAGTGAGAATTTCTAGTACTTGTTAAATACCTATCTAGGAACAATATTTTGAAAGAATTTAATACCTGTCGGAAAAAAATGTAGCTTATCACCCTACTATTTTCAGCCCTTTGTATATATTTTTAAAAATATTTCTTTTTTTAATGATTTATTAATTTAATGTGTAACTGCAACAAACACAGTACTGCAATATTAGTATTATAAAATATTATTTAATAATATTTGTTTACAAAAATTTCCTTATTGCTAAAAATTATCTTCATTGAATTGTAAAGAATAAGTTTTATTAAAAATTTTATTTCCTGTGTTTTTTGAAGTATTATGTTTTTAGCAATGTAAGTTCATTAATTATAAGAATATTTTTAAAAAAAATAAATTTGTAAAAGAATTCTTATTTATTTAGTCATGGAAACCACAACACCAGCTATCTCATTTCTATTCATATTTCCATCTCTCAAATTCTAAGATAACTTTATTCGTGTGTTAGGCAGATTCTATGATTTTCAAAATAAATTATAATAAATTTTTCGATCAATTAAAGAAAAAAAAGTTGAATCATTGAGTTAGGAAAAAAGTGACACATTGATTAAATTAAATTCTTAGTATTCACCAACAAATAAAACTCAGTTGATACCTAAACAATAATATTGTAAATTCTTTCATTTTATAATAAGGTGCAATAGATTTTATTCTATCAAACAAAGAGTGCTTGTATTACTGTTATTTGTAAAACATTGAAATAATCTATAGTCCAGTTGTGTGTTTTTCACTGTCCATCTTCTCCAGGTTTTATAAGTCTTCTGTAAAAATTTTCGCATTTGAATTACTGAGGGGGTGAATAATCAAATTACTTTTTTACGATTTGCAAGCATGAGATTCTTCTGACTTTTTTTTCAGAATTTCAGACTTTTCTTGATCAGAATACTTGTACAAATATGTATTAAAAATTACTATGAAGATTTCTTGAGGGAAAGTAACTAATTCGGTAGTTAATTATGTAATATTATCATAGTAATATTTCAACATCATTTTGTTGCTTTATTTTAATTATTATTTTTATCTGAAGCTTATCAATTTGTTGGACTGTAAATGTACACACGTAGTTGGGAAAAAAAATTCAAATAATTATGTAAATAATTTAAATATTTTCTTTTTGTGCAGAACAGTTTTTTAATTATATTTTCAAAAGTAGGGTTGATAAGTATTAAGTATTGTTCTTATGCCTGGTAATCGAACTTTGAAGCTTATACCTTGACTGTAGAAAATAGAAACTATACATTGCCTTTATTTCTTACTCACAAACTACCATTGGCGAAATCTTGTAAGCGAAATGTTGTAATATGTCATTTGCATTCTTGGCAATTTAATTTGCTGCTAAAAGCAAGTCTACAGTTACTCATTGACTGTGTGTTGCCAAATGCACTTGTATTGTTCTTCCACTTCTAAAACACTCAATGTTATTTCAAAATTGTAAGTTTTAGCAAATTAATGAATGCTGTATTGTTAAATAAGTTCAAAGTATGAATTTTCCATAGTAAATCTCAATTTTTTTCTATGTCATTTATACCCTTCATTCACTTAGCTCATCATTTATTTTGTAATTTTTAAGAGACCTTTGAAAGTATATGAAATAGAAATGTTTAATATCTTTTATATTTAACTATAATTTTACTGTGTGATGATTTTTGAAAATGAAATGGTATCTGTCGACTTATATTGTAATTTTGTTTCATTATGTTTTCATCCTGATAAACTAGTAAGTATTTTAAATATGTTAATATAATAGTAGTTAGAAAAGGACATGATTTAAATGTTAGTTTTTTTAAAA